GGTACACTAGTGTAACGGTGATACTACTGTGTCTGTTGAAAAGTGGGATCTATTACGGAATTTGTGGGGTCGCTTTGTAGAATTTGCCTGGATTTGAGCAATAGTCAGTGAATATTCAGAAAAGTTCAGAAGAGTTCAAAGAGAGGATTGGTATTCAGTTTTTGTAAACAAGATGAGTATTGAGAGTTTTGCTTATCCAACCAATAGTCTGTAACAGTTCAGCTGGCGTTTTCTAATAAATGACTCCGCAGCAAAGGGCTTCTTCCTTTCACTAGTAGTTAATCATGTTTTCCGCAGCAAAGGGCTTCTTCCTTTCACTAGTAGTTTGCTAATCATGTTTGGACTCTTTTCGGCTCGTTTTTGATCCCAGCGCAAATCAGTAATGTTGGGATGTGGTTCGCTTACATACAACGTCCAGTAGATGTTAGAGGTTTGTCCTTTGGGCAGGATTTCGCCTGTGGAATAGTTCTCGATAATTACGATGTCTGGAGTAAGGGTCCCCAAATGGCGACCTTCAGATAGGGTCAAAAGCTCTGTCCTTGATTTAAGAATCAAGTTGGTCCCCACATCACCCCATCGCTATTAATGGCTCTGCATAACACATGCTCCAGAGGTTTAACGTGTGGGGAATTTCATAACAGACTATAACACGTGACTAATCGTGCTACTTTGCTCAATCGTCTTGGTGATGACGACAATTGAGTCACATGTGATTATATCACTGTGTATTACGTGTTTACTCTGTACTGTGAGGACTTGAGTTTTAGATAGCCCAGTGGTTAAGGCGCGGGCCTACTGATCAGAGGGCCTGTGTTTCGGGCATATCGAATGCTCCTGTCCAGACTTGAGCAGTTTGGCAGTATCTCAGCTCTCTCAGTTCCGTTGGGTAGCGTATTAGTTAAGTACCGGAAAACTGTTACAAACGAACCAACCCGCTAATGTTTCAGTCGCTACGATATTCAAGATATCGCGATACATGTATATCTTTGTAATGTACTACTCATAAGGTTACTGAAAATCAGTCGACAGCCCACGACGGGTTTCGCCCTTTATGGGGCTCATTACGTGGGCACAGTCCCCGGGTTTCCGTCAATCTTATGTTCTACTTGAAACCAAATTGCACACTCATTCGCAAACTAATTTGGTTTTTCGAGAGACTCACCTGGAACCCAGCTGAATCTCTCGTTTGTGACGTTTTCAGGAAGCAACCTTTTTTCAGCAACCTTATGAGTAGTACATTACAAAGAAAAGCATAGGAGTGTTCAATCACGTGGAAAATACTTGAAACCGATTGGGTAGTCATCGTTTTCGAAAAAGTTTGGTGACAATCGGTAGATTTATTGCTGGTTCTCCTTCCGCCTTAAATCTCAATCAACCTCGGAACCTAGTCACTTGACCTGACGAAACTTTTGTGTCAAAAGCGAAACGTTGCCCAGCAATAAATCTACCGATTATCACCAAACTTCTTCGAAAAGCATAGGAGATTTCGAGGCCTTCAAACTATAAAATGCATGAACAGAACCAGTTGTCTTGTAGGCCACTCGGAACCTGGGATCGTGGGCTGACATCCGTTTCTAGTTTGACCTGTGACATCGATCCACCGACGCTGGATGGATGGATGTGGGTAATACCATATACGGTTTGCGCTCAGTGGCTAGTTTATCCACCCGAACACCCGACGGAGTGAGTTTGGAGGCTGAACATCAGGGGGGAGGCCTAGGGCCATCAGCGGCCACCCTAAACACACACACGGCCAGTTAGTATTCACCGTTATTTAGTTTCGTCTCGGACAGTCACTTCCAGGATCTTGGTAGGTTTAACGCTCAGGAGTATCCAGGACATCACATGGGACTTTGCAAATCGAAGCGGCTCGATGGTTGAACTCAATAATGTCCGATTCGGATAGAAGGCGGGTTGCATTACCAATAAGTGGAACCCAGAATGGATTTGCAAAGCGTTTCTCAATGGTTCTATTTGATTTCGTCTACACGATAACGTTCATTGAAAGTCATTTCTAGCACCACAAAGGATAGAAACCATCGAATTACTCACTATGTTGATCATCAAGAAAACCCACTTCTAGCATCGTCGCAAAATCAGCTATCCGATTACCCCAAGCCAATAAACTTACTTTGTCCACCGGTAGATCGCCCCGTGGAGTCCACTGGTGGACTCTGGAGTATGACATTGTAATTGGCAGTGGTGCAGTTGTGCAAACTGGAAGTAAATCGTGCCCGCTACAACTATTGCTGATAACTTTTAACCACCAGGTTAGGCAGCAACAATATGGCTGCCGTGCGGCTGTGATCTAATCAGACCGTGCGCTAAGGTTTTTGAATTTTTTTTACCGTAAAATACAGATAGTTGATATGACTTCGCAACAAACCGGTTCGAAAGCGATATAATAACTGTAACTCCTCCATTTCAACCCAGACTTTTGAATGCGTACACGTGCATCGATTTTTTTTGCATTGGTGGTCGTTTGCTGAGCTGGGCTATTTGATTGCAAACGTTTCATCACCAATCGAGGTGACATCGTCAGTGCGTTAGTGGGGAGCGTAGCGGTGGGTTGGTGGTTGGGCACAACCACCGTCAACCTTACGTTCTACATGAAACCAAATTGCATGAAACATGAGGCGGCCTGGTGCAGCACATTCAGTGGCCAAAAAACATCACAAACGAGAGAGTTGGCTGGATTTGAGCTGAGTCTCGCGAAAAAACAAATTTGTTCGCCAGTTCCTTAATCTCGTTCAACGGACGGCTTACTAGCTTGAAAACAAAGTCCAGAATCATGATGAATCTGCAGTACTGATGAAAAAACTTATTTTCGATGGCCTTGATGGATTACTGAATGAGTTGTGTGACAGACCTAAAGAAAAGCTGGACGTCGGAGTTTCCTGGGTGCCTTCCGGTGGAAGACGGGCAGTTAATCAAGACGTGAGTGGCATCCAGATCCTTTTACGTGGAGCGAACTAGCTTGAATCCGGTAATTTTCATCATGATAATGCGACACTAGTCCAACAGAGCCCAATTGAAATGTGAATGTTGTGTCGCAATATCAAGACCACAGATTGGTCCGTTCGCCAAACGTATTTAGATCCGATCGGAGGGGCCTGCCGTCTACTAGAAGGGTTAAATGATGGGGATTTTAGTATCCTTTAAAGGAGTTATGAGTTACTACATTCTCACCACCGGGATTGTTAGAAATCTGGAGACGGAATTCTGCGAAATTCGATCAAAAGCATCCACAAAGTACATGTTTTAGTAGTGTAGTTCGTTAATTTCATAAAATTTGACTAACACAAAGGTAAATGGAAATTCGGGTACTGCGCCCACCTGATGGGCCCCAAGGAGTGTAAAACCGGTAATGGACTGTCGAAGTTTTCAGCAACTTTATGAGTAGTTCATTACGTGTAGTTCGCTACATTTTTTCACCATCTGGGGTGTTTTTCATAGCTTTTTGCATCCGCTTGTACACAGTATTCGCGTTCAATGTGAAATTGGGATGCTTTTTGCTCCACGGTAATGGAGTGGTTGAGTAAACCTCATACCAGCTGCCAAACTGGATATTAAGGTGTCCGAGTCTGCCAAGATCCTATCAAGATCTTGCCTGTGTTAAAATATCCGGTTTTATAATTGGCGGCATTTCCGAGGTGCGCGAAATTCCGGTTGACGCCATCTGAGAGGTTCGACATTCATCCAGCCGTGTGATACCACAACGTAACCTGCGTGTTCTTTGCTTTCTCTATCCACGTCAAGTTTTTTCAATTATTTCGACTAAAGTACGATCAGCTGAAAATCACCAGTCCTGTCTCAGCATGCGGAAACCCTGGTTCGCTCGCCTTACACTGAATGACAAGTTTTGCGAACACTCAGTCTAGGAAGTTCATCCTTTGTTGAATTTCAATGTGGTTGTCACTTACTCGCCTGGTTTTGCTCTACAAGTACGAGTCTAGTGGTGTGTTGTGCAATCCTGAGTTGTTTACTAATTCACTCGTTTCATTTTACACTATCCGCCAGTCCTGTGCCTGTTCCTTCCAGAACCCCATGCATTTCCCCTGGAGATTTTGTCGCCCACCGCCAAGAACACGTTGTTGATTGGTAGTGTGAGGAGATTTGGGATTTTTGTGGAGATTTCGTCCTGTAAGTGAAGCCAATCTATGCTGAAAAGCCGAGAAGCACTGTACTATCCTTGTTGGAAATCATCAGCGGTGCGCATCTCACGAAACTCCTGTCTGAGTGCGAGTTAATCACACTGCTGATCAGCCACTCATGGCCGAACAGTTAAGTGTTCAAACTACTAGCCGGGAGGTCGCGGGTTCGAGACCCTTCGGAGTTTCGTGAGACGCGCACTGCTGATGATTCTCAATAAGGATGAAACAGTTGTACAGTGCTCTCGGCATTTCGGCATAGATTGGCTTCACTTACAGGACGAAATCTCCACACACCTTGTTGAATTAATCCATAGTTGTAGTCGAGTGTGGACCGCACGTGAGTGCTCGCGCGAAAAGAACCACAGCTACGACACTACCATCAGCAACCCCTAGATAGCCCACTGGTAATCTTGTCCTTCTTGGGCCTATCAGGTAAACCCAGGACAGTTAACATCAATTACCCGAACGAAATACCCTACAAGATCCTGGCATACTGTAGCGTGCAAGGCGGTTATTACTAACGGATTCGTTGCCCCGGAATTTTTTAAACTCTCATTTCCTTCACTTGTTCAAAAATTCCTCGAGCAACCAGAGCAAGATCAGTCTGGCAGTGATTGCGTATTCGTTCAAAAATTTCTCAAGCAATCAGAGCAAGATCAATCTGCCACTGACTGCACCTACGAGGCTGAGGAGTCATACGGTTTCGGTCTGTCCGATCCCTGATACCTTATAAAGCATTCTAGGTCATATATAGACGACAACTATGCGGTGTTGACTGCTCGACGGTGTCCATTTATGCGTACGTACAACTTTGTCTCAGTTCGATTAGCAATTTATGCAGCCTCAATGAATCTTGGGTGAGTCCTGTCGAAGTGACCGTGTCTTTGTGATAGCTATAACAAAAGTTCAGGAAGAATAATGAAGGCGATGGATTGGAAGCCCTCACAACATCACAAACGTGGATATTTTCTAGTAAACAACAGACTTTCCCCCCCAGAAAACAACTAGGAAGATATCGGTTTAGTGAATTCCATCAGATTTGCTCAGCTGGACTTCTCCCAACGAAGAACCACTCTCGAGGAACGAAGAATATTCGAGATAAGGTTATGGGATTTCTTTCGACTATAACCCACTCTCACCACCAAAACTGACGAACAGGCATCCACTGACCCAGTTTTATCAGACGATTGACGCGTGAAACGGTTGAGCTTACACATACTACTGACAAATTGCCTTTCCACGGGACCCTTCTTGACTACCTCGGCCACAGCTCAGTCTAGGATGCGTACACAGTAGCACTTGCTCGAAGCATTCAACAACTGAATAACTGGAACAAAGCCGGGACAAGGGAGGGCCAATGCACACGAGTCTGCAATACATATCGCTTTCACAACTACCATGACTGTTAGTGACAGTTGATCTCGTTTACGGATTAATTCTAGATCCAGCGAAATCACACATAAAATTCCCGTTTTCGTTGTGGTCTAGATTGGGGAACTGACGACCATGTTACACGTTAACCATGTTGATTTGTATGCCTCAGTCAACAAAAACATTTATTATATGGATATTCTACCCAGGCCAAAGTATGGTATCGCATTACATGCTCATAGAAGTTGCCAAACAACTCAGCCGCAAATAAAATGAAATTAGCCCAGTACAAGAAGAGTGTTCTCATTCGCCCATGGGCGAACCCTGCGCTGAGAACATGAGGTTGGTATTCCTGAAAGATGTTCCCTGAATGGAAGAAGCATCGCACTGCACCTAGTTTCACAGCAATCTACCCAAAATCCAAATTTCATTTTTCTGAGTCGCCAGTCACGTGACTGATTGGAACTAATTATCAGGCAACGCCTGAACTCAGTGCGGCACATTGCGCTGTTTTCAGTTCCTCATTTTCGATACGAATCGACTATTTCGACTATCAATTTTTCATGAAATGTAACAAGAAAACTAGTTTAACATAGTTAGGAACAAAAGCTGAGGAGCCAGGATGTGAAGTAAATTTCCCAAAGATAGGACAAATGAATATACTCAAAATAGCGATTGCCGCTTTCCATTTGGAGCTTACCTTTTAGTTCTTCCAACTTGTAGTAGAGCAAAATGAGGAAATCTCTGTCCTCGGCACTTATCTGTGTCATCTTCGGGAAAAAATCCGGTTTCTCTCAAAACTGGCGATCAGCGCCTGCCTCAGCGAAGAAATGTTGGTGTACTGTGCTCTGGTTCGCATGCCTCTCGTGCCTTGCACCATACAAAGACTGACGACACATCTGTTGCTCGCCGAACAAAGCACCGCAACATAAATAAGTCATGGTCACGCATAACTTCCAGTAGCTCTCCACATTGTCATCCATCGCACACACAATAAAGTTATGCTATTCCAGATCAGCTGATCGAATGATGATAGTTCACTCGATCGATCGATCGATCGAGCGAGCGAAATTGACAGCTAAAATACATGTGCCAGTGTGAGTACGATGGATGAGAAGATAACAGTTGCGTTGATACTCTCTGTCTTGGTCAGCACAAAAGAGAGAACAGTGTTTCAGCGTTTCTTCAGCGCAGTGGACAAAAATCTGGCAAACGCATTTAGTAGCGGGCTGATACAGCAACTTTTGCTGCCCACTGATGTTTGCGATAGTATTTGGAAAGACTACTTCACAAAGATAAGTTCAGACAGATGGCGGTCGAATGATGCGAAATATTTGACGATCTCTTTTCGATTTCACATCGATTTCGATCAGTAACTCCATCGGTTTTTCTTCTACTTTCTCCCTTTATGACCCTGTATTTGACGATCCTCTTCTGAAACGAGCGTTATTTTTGACTTTGCTTTGATTTCCGGTGATTTGTTGCAAACTCGATCAATCAATGCGAATCTTCAACTTAGCAGATCAGTACACTACACTCCATTTAAGTACTGGCGTCCTAATGAAAGCACGATTCAAACAGACTGACAAATCAGCGGTGTCCATTCTAAATAGGAAGTGACTAGAAATTTATCAGAGATGCCTAAATATTTATTGGTCAACAATAGCTAAAATGCAGTTTGAAAGGGGCGATTGATGGTGTAGTTGAGGTTTGTCGCGTCACTATAAGGGAATGCGGCAACTGAGCAGTATCCTGCAGTAGCTGAGGAGCAAAACATGCCGTAGAAATAACGGAATAAAAATAATGGCATATGAGATGGGCGCACGACTCATTTCAGTTTTGGAGCTGGTCAGGGTATCTGGATTACATCGAAATCTCACTGGACTTGGCGAATATACACTCATTGCAAACTAATTTGGTACTTTCGAGAGACTCACCTGGAACCCAGCTGAGAACATCATAAACGAGAGACTCAGCTGAGCCTCTCGTGAAAACCAAATTGATTTGCAAATGAGTATATTTCTCGAAAACAATCCAATTTGGTTTCAAGTAGAACATAAGGTTGACAGAAACCCGGGGACTGCGCCTACCTGATGAGCCCCAAGAAGGTCGAAACCGGTCGTGGGCTGTCGATGGATTTTCAGCAACCTTTTGAGTAGTACATTACAAATATACATGTATCGCGATATTTCAAATATCAGAGCGACTGAAACATGAGGCGGCCTGGTGCAGCACATTCAGTTGCCTGAGAACATCATGAACGAGAGATTCAACTGGGTTCCAGGTGAGTCTCTCGAAAGAACCAAATTAGTTTGCAAATTAGTGTATATTCGCCAAGTCCAGTGAGATTTCGATGTAATCCAGATACCCTGACCAGCTCCAAAACTGAAATGAGTCCTGGACGCCTGAGTTCCCCAATCAGCTGTCTGACACCTGGAAATTCGCATTCTTGTGAAACACGTGCGACAATCGACGCAATGCCGATGACGTACGTAGCCACTGCACTTCATCATCATTGGTTCATTACATCAGCTGTCCAAACATCTGCACAAACCTGTCAGATCCGTACCGATTGCGACAGGACCTTAGCGTGTAGGGTGCAGTTGAGCGACATCGAAACACAGTGCTTGAAAGTATTCATCGAACGCCGTTCAAAATACGTTCGTCTTGCGCAACACCGTCGAAGAAGACCATCAGAGATGCAACCAAGGCTTGTGGAGGTCACCTTAGGTGCTTACGAATCTAGCCTGCAAAGAACCTATAGGAAGTGTAATACTCAAACAGACTCCGTCGTTCGACGGAATATGACAGGACTGGGCAGGAAAACGAGAAAGTAGCATGAATCGCTGTACAGGGAGAATAAACAACCGTGAAAATCGAGAGTTGAAAGTAAAACAGCCTTACAGTGTTTATGGATCAATACAACCAGGTTCGTTTGTTTGTTTGTTTGTTCCCCGAATGTTCGATGCATTCGTGGAAAACTCTATGCATCCTTGATCGTCTGGGTTCATTAAAAAACAACGTTTGAATTACTGAGATTCAGTATAAAATACTTTGGGATGGGCGTGTGATTCTCTATAGTGTTGTGTTTAATTCAACTGGACTATGTTTCCGTGGCTTTTTCAACCTCACTTTTCGCTTGCTAACTTTAAATTTACGGAGAATGAAATTTTCAGCATTATTGCCCGGTGTGAACTCGCCAAACTAAAGATCAGTTGACGTTTCTGATAGACGTTTCTGCCTGCGAAGCAACTTGATTCAAACAAATACACTCGGGTGCATATCAATTTGGTTTTCACGGGTGATTCAGCTGAATCTCTCGTTTACGGTATTCTTCAACTGGATGTGTTGAACAAAGGCCCGGCTCATGTTTCAGTTGGCACGATATTCGACATATCGCAGTATATTTTCATAAAGGAAACCGGTCGTGGACTGTCGAAGAGTTTTCAGCAACCTTGTGAGTAGTTTCCTTTATGGAAATATGAAGGGGATATCTCGAATATCGTGCCAACTGAAACATGAGGCGGCCTTTGTGTAGCGCATTCAGTTACCTGAAAAAATCATAAAGGAGAGATTCAGTTGAGTCTCTCGTGAAAACCAAATCGATTTGCAAATGAGTGTATTTCTTGAAGAAAACAGCCCAGTTTGGGTTCAAGCAGAACATAAGGTTTGCGGAATCTCGGGGACTGCGCCTACTTGATGAACCCAAAGAAAGGCGAAACCAGTCCTGGGATGTCGAGGGGTTTTCGGCAACCTTATGAGTAGTGCCTTACGAATATAAATGTATCGCGATATCTCGAGTATCTTACACTCAATTGCCTGGAAACATCACAAATTACAGATCTAGCCGGGTCTCGAGTGAGTCTCTCGCAAAACCGAATTTGTTCGCAAATGAGTGTAATTTTCTAAGATCATACACCAATAAACTTTTCCCATCTTTAGCTCACCGCGATTTGACACAGGCGCCCCAAGTTTTCCACCCAAGCAATCTTAAAATATGTTTCCGCCTACTTCACTTCAAAAATTTTCGAACGTCTTGCGTAACACACAAAAAGGCGGAGTGAGTTGACACAGTTATCCGTGACTCCTAGACAAATCGACATTCTGGCAGTTGTCTCATCCGAATGACCGTGTGACGTAATCAACTCAGCCTATCAGGTAAGCAATAATTAGTCATCTAACGGCTTTATACCAGACGAACTGACAGGGGTTGAGCATATATCTTTAACCTGTGGACACACTAATTACGGTCGGCTAATAACAGGCCATGTGCTAGCCACTTCGGTTTTCTCTCGCTTGGTTTGGATTAGATTAGACGAATAATGCATTGCTTTATCAGATAAAAGCTGTCAGGAAGAGCTTAGCTGGAAAGCCAAACTGAATGTGGAACATGTGATGTGCTGATATGAAGTAGTATATGGTTCGGGGTAATTATAACAAAGAAGTCTGAATTGTTATCGCGGCAACAACTTTCAGATGCAGATACGGAGGTGATACAATTCGTAGACTTTCGTCTCCTGCACTGGTTTGCACGACACTTGGCAGACTACCACTCTTCATGTATGAAAGCTACTCAACCATGCTGATATTGGCCGCCTGGATATTCGCAGTTTTGACGACTCGTGTTAACTTTGGTAAAAAGGAAACAGCAGTCCATGATAAAAAAAATTAGCTGTTTTACAAAGACCCTTACGCACAGAGTCACAAACAGGTGACAAACGGAATCGGATACAAACTGGCGAAAGACGAGCTTGAAGCTTAGGCCATATGGGGTTCAGATAAATCAAGATAGATGTGATCAGCTAATTGGGACGTTTGACTCCTAGAGGATTTATCATGTGAGCATAGAGGGAACTGTCACATGACCACTTGGTTTACAGTTTTTGATGGACGTCTAATGAAGTCCTTTCAAGAGCTTAATGCAAGTATCACGATCCTTTCCAACATAGGCAGTGTAAAGGATAAAATAACCTAAAAAACGACTGTGTACTTCTCAGAGCAAAATGAAGACGTTCCAATAGGAGTTAAATTTTGTGAAGACAGTTTTTGGATCGATAAAGCCCTCAAGTATTTCGCTAAGGCTTAGTTGGGAATAAAGTGTCTTTTGGGAAGAACTTTGGGATTACTGTGCAGAACATATAGGAATCTCTGGTCCTTGGGCCAAAGAGTGTATCGAGGACTTCTTGTATGTTCAAACATTACGTAAATGGAGAAATGGATCCTCACACGAACGAATTGCTTCCCTCGATCACAATTTTAGACTGCTGGATTGTATCGAGACACCGAATTCCGATAATTCTTTACCAATGATCCGTTATTCTGAGTAGGCCCAACAGTTTATTGATCAGTAAAGCAGATAGACACAACATGAGCCCTAAAAATCAATAGAAAACATGTAAATCGATTGTAGGCGCAGTTCCCGAGTTTCCGTCAACCTTATGTTCTACTTGAAACCAAATTACACGGAATTAGCGAATATACACTCATTTGCAAACTAGTGTGGTTTTTCGAGTGACTCACCTGGAACCCAGCTGAATCTCTCGTTTGTGATGTTTCGAGGCAACTGAAAGTGCTGCACCAGGGGACTGCGCCTACCTAGTGAGCCCCAAAATGGGTGAAACCGATCGTGGGCTGTCGACGTATTTTCAGCAACCTTATGAGTAGTATACTATAAAGATAAACATGTATCGCGACATCTCGAATATCGTAGCGACTGAAACATGAGGCGGTTCAGTACATTCAGTTGCCTCGAGACATCACAAACAAGAGATTCAGCCGGGTTCCAGGTGAGTCTCTCGCAAAACCAAATTAGTTTCCAAATGAGTGTATGTTGTATAAAGTGTATTTCAGCATACAGTTTTGTTGCTCTTGGTCACGACATGCCAGTACGAATCGACGGTGAGTTTCAAAGGGAGCAATGAGTCACCCGGTGGACGAAAACTGACCGACTAATTGATTGCAAAGAGTTCTCAGCGATCTGCTCTACGTATGATGAAGTTAACCGAAAGCCCCACCAATTTGTTCTCTGAACACTTTACTGTGAGGTTTTAAGAAATGGAACTGCACACAACCATCGGTAGGACAAGTATTACCATACGTTAGCGAAGCGCGTAGGTTATCCACTCGGCACGGGGTAACTACCACTCAGCCCCAAGTTATTGGTCTGTCGGGCTAACAACCATTTATGGATCTTCCTCGTTAGGTATGCGAACCAATCCCCATATGGCGCCACTCGGTTAAGCTTTGTCCCGCTGACGTATCTTGAAAACAACAAACCCGGAAGTAGTAACACTAAAATCACCGTAAACCTCCCATCTGTTCGTACCATAACAGTCTGGTTATCGTAATCTAACTGCCTTCAGAATTAAAGAAGGCATAGCAACAGAATGACCTGAATTCATGAGATCATACTAGCCGCTAGCTGACCATTGACCAGTATGAAGTGTAATCATTCTGTCGCTGGTCGGGGCAAAACTAATTCACCACCAGCATCGTTTGAACTTTCAAAAGATGATTTTTTCAGTCGAACCTTAATTTTGGTGTCAAGTAAGGCTGTTGGTCTTCTCCTCAAAAATGGTGGTTGCTAGCTAGGGTAAAATAACGGAACGAAGCGGAGCATTCGATTAGTTTATCTAGTCGAGAAACTAAGGTGTCCCTGCGCCTTCCCCGGGCCATCCCTTAGTCGTTTGTTGTGCGTCATTTCGTGATCACCAAAAGGCATGAACCCCTGAAAATCTCTGTTCTGGCTTGGAACCTTCACTGCTATTGCCGAACTAGGGAGCCACTACCTATACGTTTTTAGTAGTATCTCAAACCTGATTCAATACTGATCTAATTCAAATCGAAACTACAACTATCTGCTAGCACCGTGATTTCAGCGGCATTAAAAGCAAATCCGCAAAAACGCAACCTTTACATGAGCAGTTTCCACATCAGCTCTGGACAAATTCCTCCACAGTTAACGAAGCTGTACCTGTTTGGTAAACAAACATATTTCCAAGGCACTGTTCCTTTAAAAATCCCAATACGAATGATCTTACCGCATGACATCTTCACAGAACGATCAGCCGAGGAATACTCAAGTAGAAATGCGGGCTCACGAATCGTTCAGAAGCACGGAGATGAGACATTCCACTACAGCCAGGTTGATGAACCCATTTCAGGGATTAAACACGAACAGATTTCTTTAGATGAACACAGAATTTTGACTGAAATGAACTATTGATGTTCTGCTTGAATTGGACCAACACTTTCCACATCGCATCTCAGTCTGAGTGAGCAGTTTTCTTGGGATAATTGCAGGCGCGACCACATATTAGTCTGCTTTAGTTGCCTGCTCCCCGCCTTAGATGAAGCCATTTATTCGGACACCAGTTTGCTTATTGCCTTGTGTGCCAGTTCGCTCAAACAGTGGTCCTGGTGTGGTAGTCAAAATCGGGAAAAATGGCTTCAGGCACAACCTTCTTTCATCTACCAAGACAACAAACTTGTGGATTCTTCGTAGAATGATATGGCATTATCGATGTGGTCACAGATACGACCAAAATCAACGGTGTACTTTAAAACCGCAAATAGTAAACAGTGAATAAGTTCGATGCGCCAAGGCAACCAAATCATTGAGCTAGTTTGTGTGAGATACAGGAAGTGGATCCTGAAGAGAATTCGTCATCAAGCGGACTGATTGTTTACTTGCAAAAGAAGATGCCGACATCGGAATTTCCTAAACGATTGAAAAACGTACACGAAGACCCTAAAGTTAAACGATCACTGTCAGAGCCCTCCACCACGTCATCCACGACAAAGTTCGATATAAACTCCGACACACCTAACCTGGAAAACCGGCCCCTTATTTGAGTGAAACCCAGTAGCAGGAGCTGTAAACCGGCAGTAGCACAACTTAGCGGTTCTGAAAGCCTCCCCCACGGTTTGCTCTGCAAACATCACCATTTGGTCTGAGGCAAAAGTGCTCAGTAAACGTTTGTTGGACGTTAGCAAACACATATGCAATTGGTCGTTAGCTTGTTCGCTGAGCTGGGCAATTTGATTGCAAACGTTTCATCACCAATCGAGGGGACATCATCAGTGCGTTATTGGGGAAGCTACCGACATTTTCCTCTATAGAAAAACATATGCAAGTTTGCACCACTAAAAAGGCTGGCAGTTCTGACATCCGGACATCTCGATTGTGCCCATTTTCTAATTCTTCGGTGGCTTTCCAAAGAACCACTCATTCAATTCTACAATCCTCTGTATATATTTTCATTCTTGTGGTTGCTGATCCGTTTGCCGAGTTCGGCAATTTGTTTGCAGACTTCTTGCCACCAGCCATCCGCACATCATCATCAGCCCACTGAAGCGGTCTCCTCGTAAAATAACCAAAGGTCCGCAACCTAACTGCGAAGGTGATTTGCATATCATTTTGATTCTCCCGTTTATGATGTTCTTAGGCGACTGAATGTGCAGCAGGAGGCGACCTCGTGTGTCATTCCGTGTGGTATCCGAGATCTCGCGATACATTATATAGACGTTATGAACTTCTCAAAAGGTTGTCGACGGGTTTTCAGCATCCTTATAAGTAGTGTATTGCGTGTATATCAAACAGCGCACCCGAGCTGCCTAAATTTTACAACTTGCTAAGCCCAGTATTGTGCAAGTTACATCTTTACAGCCACCTCGTGTGTCATTCCGTGTGGTATCCGAGATCTCGCGATACATTATATAGACGTTATGAACTTCTCAAAAGGTTGTCGACGGGTTTTCAGCATCCTTATAAGTAGTGTATTGCGTGTATATCAAACAGCGCACCCGAGCTACCTACATTTTACAACATTGCTAAGCCAATAATCTACCCAAGCTATCAAAATTTCAATGTATCTTGTGCGAGCCATACTCATCTATTGGTTGTACGGCATATGCCGGCAATTTGCATGCTTGTGTTTAAGGGTGCTCCGCTCGCGTAAAACTCTACACGTCTGTACTGGACAAAAGCGCTGCCAGAAGTAGGTTGTACTTGCAAATTTCACACCTCAAATACACGGCGCAAAGTGCCTCCCACTTTCTACGTTACACAGGCAACTAATCTAATACAGAACAAAATATATCACGATGTGGAGAGAAGGGTTTGAGTGGTTCTCACACCGAAGACAGTAAAACTGCAGTCACACCCGAACATCGATCACAGGTAGAGTTTTGCCTTAAGGCTTGTGTGCAGACTGTGAATTTTTTCGCCAGAATGTGATGCGTTAGTGAAAATTTTGCATGTGCCTTGGAAGTGGTATTGGCTGTCACAACCTTTTAAAGTAAGCTTGTGGACCAAGTATTTGACTCTGAACGATTGCTGAGTCCTGGGTGCAGTGGTCAAAGTTAAACTGTAAATAATGGATAATCGATGTGATTTGATGTGATCCATCGGGTTCAACCCTCGGACACTGCTGGCTACGAAGGGACCCACGGTTCCAATCCAATGACCTCTCAGTCGTATTATCCAAATCCACGACAAAGCGTCACATGATCTTCGTGATTCGTCTAGCAGGAAAAACCATCTACACTGTCTCTGCTGTTGGGGATCACGTTAGTTTGGTCTCGTTTACTGGAGAAGGTTCTATTCGGAGTCCTTCCCTTAAACCAAACATCCAATCCTTTGTGTTTCTCATTACTCAGTGTTTGAGCTCTTCTTCAAAATGCACTTCCAGGGCAACAGGTAATAAACCTAGACTGTGACCTTAAAGCCAAATGTGTTAGCGGAGCCGCTTTGTCCTTGGAAGGGGTGCTTTTTGTTGATCGAGATCGTGTTGATCGGATCACGTGACACAAGACCGGTCCAAAGTGGAGTAAGTGAATAAGAGGACTGATCAGCTCCAACCCCGCAAACGAAATGGACGGCCGATGGTGAAAACGAAATTTAAGATGACCAAGACTGTCCAAATCTTTGTGTAGTCACAGGATTGCCCGCATTATCCGGGAAATTGATTTGCATTCCCCTTGGACAGAGTGCCCGTGTTACAAACCACCTGAAGATAAGGCTTTCAGTTTATGACGAAGCGTGGTCAACCAGTATTTATCTTCAATAAACTTCTATGGACACTCTCAAACATACTCGAAATTTGGAACAAAGTACTCCACTCCACGTTTGTTGGTGTCACTCAGGGATGCGGAAACCTAAACACAAAGGACCTGTGAAAGGTCCTCTAGAAAATAGGAGGTGAAAAGTTATAAGGTTTCATGTACCTTTTGCTGATGGTGTAACCCGTTCATTGATAGTCGTAAACAATAATCTCAGCAGTGTACCTTGTCACCACTTTGGTTGGTTCCCACTTCACCTTTAAGGGACCTTAAGGGACAAGAAAATCTTATTCTTCATGACGTGAGTGCCACTCACGCGGATTACAAACCAAGCAACTGAGCTTTCGTCGATTGGTTGAGATACAATCCCTTGAAGTATCCCCATCTTTGAGTGAAAAGAAAAAACGCAGACCAACCGCCGTTGAGCTCCGCGGAACACTATACGAATGGTAACCAGTGATAGGACCATCCCTTTACTTGAAAAGCTCAGTTATCCATCCCACTGATCAGCATCAGGAGAGCGTTGTGGAGGCAGTCAGTCCATACAAACGCACCTCCTAATCATCCAAGCTCGCAATAGCCAAAAAGGATTAACCCACCGTACCATTTTCCGCAGTTCGGAGTAGTAGGATAGATATTGCCAAATTATCTCGTTCCTTTCGGATCGATAGAGTCGCGTTTTGCTCATCTTCTAATGGTCAGATTTTACAGGACTGAGGCAAAGTGATCCCGTTGGGGGAACTCCCACTTACGGTGGATGAATGGGAGACTATCGTATGCTTAAATGGTTCACCTCTTAATTCGAAACATCACCCAGGTCGTCGAACAGATCACCAGCCACCTGACCAATTACTAATAATCCCCAATTTTCAGTCATGATTGTCTGGAAAATTAGACCTCACTGAGCATGGTTTTTTTGCAAAGCAGTAGCTGTCCAGAACGCTGACAAAATCCCCAAACATTTAACTGAATAAAACTCATCGACATTTTATATATGTTCAAAAAACTGCGGTCCTCCTGCAGTCTAAGGACACAATCTCCAATAGGGAAGGTATCGGACATGTCTCACAAGTTTTATTGTTTTTTTCACATTTCTAGCAAGTTCGATGTTCATCATGCCCGTATGGGTTTTCCGCAAATGAAGCATCCATCTTCTGCTAAACCACTGGTCGAGTTTCGCGATGACCCCCATCAAGGTTGAAACAGGCGAATATACACTTATCTGCAAAGTAATTTGTTTGTTTTCGAGAGACTCACCTGAAACCCAGCTGAATCTCTCGTTTATGATGTTCTCAGGCAACTGAATGTGCTGCACCAGACGGCCTCATGTTTCAGTCGATACGATATTCGAGATATCGCGATACATGTGCAACTTCCTTTGCTAGCGTTGTCCCAGAGGGATCAAAAACGGATGCTACTCCAACAAAAAACACTAATTTTTGCAACAGTACATTCCAAGAATCTGTGGCAAAGTTCATCATTCAATGCTCGACACACTAAGCTAAAACAAGATGTGGTTCTGTCCTAGTTCATAAGACAATAACAGCTGCATAGCAAATTACGTTTCAGCAGTAATCTCTGCAATTTCCGTCAGCCCCCGTTTCATTTCGCTCGTCATCAGTTGACAAAAGTTCAGCACGCAGCTAACTTTTGCGTCCGCTTGACAAGAATGGCATCTTCTTTGGATCCAAAACTTTTCCGATTAAATTGACGGCCGTTCCGAGGTGAGTAATTGATGTGCTCTGCGCCCCCAACACTACCATGGCATCGTCCATATATTATGGGTAGGTTGAGAGACAAAATCTTGAAAATTAGCGAAATACACTCATTTGAAACCTAATTTGGTTTTCTGAGAGACTCACCTGGAACCCAGCTGAATCTCTCGTTTGTGAGTAGTGCATTACAAGGATGGAACAACTTTACAGGGTTTCCTGGCTTTCCAGCATGGATTGCCTTCACCGACAGAAAGAAATCTTATCGGTAAAAATCAATGCCAGAAGGCTAAAATTACCACTCTGGCAATCCTTACTGCGGCAGATTCCAAGCATAAAATTGATAAATTTTCGTGTTGCTCAGGGCCCGATAGAAAGTATTCCTGACATAACACATTACTCATAAGGTTGATAAAACTCACTGACAGCCCACTACCGCTGTTTACTACTGTTTAAAATTAAACAGTTAGTTGAATTTGTCAAGTGTACGCCAAGTGTACCGAACATCACATTTTACCTGAATTGCAAGATATATCCAATTTAGTTTGCTCTTAACGCGAAACTTACCTGGATCCGAGCTGATTCTTTCGTTTACAATGATCTGCAATTGAGTGTACCGAATAAAGGTGAGATATTCAAAATACCGCAGAGTGGTTTCTTTACAGAACAAACCATTCGGTTGGTGGGTAGCCTAAACAGGAGATTCATGCGAGCTTTTGTTTGAAATTACTGTAAATCACAGTACATTTCGTCAAGCGCTTTCGAAACTCGCAAGGCAAATCCTACGGCTTTAGAGTACGTTGCGGTGGTCTTGGTTGGAAGTGCTCTGTACTCCAACTTTTGGAGAATTCCACGAGGAACTGTCAGAAAAATGTTGAAATTGCATTGTAGAGATTCGTATAACATTACAGAACCTTGTATATGCACCGGCATCCAGCCAGAAACCGGATTTCTAGGGTACCCGCAGTCTCTCAAAAGGGACTAATTCGTGACCTCCTCCACAAAAAAACAAATTCAATTAATTAATTTAATTTAATTGATAAAAATTAAATTAAAAGTAAACAAAAACTGAACAAATATAAACAAATTAAAATTGCATGGTACATGCAGCAGTTTGGCATGAGTCAGTTACAGTCCCGTCGGGAGGACTGCATTGGTCTTTCACGGGAGTTTTGGTGCCAAGGAACTTAAGGAATGGGGTTAAACCGATTGTTCAAAGGGTGATCCCCTAGGTATATGTACTAGGACCCACTTAATCTATCAAGCTACCAAAAACATATATGACGTCATTCGAAATCCTAAATTTATCCTTTACTTGTCTCCAACTATGAACTGTACTCCCGGAGAAGTTCCACCGTTCGGTTAGCCGTAGAAATTGAGCAATGTGATCATACGAAATCTGCCACAAACGTCGCGGAGCACCTCACCACATCTTGACGACGGGGATGACGTCGTGGTTGTTCTCCACATATGTTCTGAGGGGAGTTCATTGACTTCCGCCTCCTAGTCGCACATGCGAATTCATGGCAGGGCGTCTACACATCCCGCACAAAGTGAGAACATAACTAGCGAATATACACTCATTTGAAAACTAATTTGGTTTTTCTAGAGACTCACCTGAAACCCAGCTGAATCTCTCGTTTTTGATGTTCTCAGGCAACTGAATGTGCTGCACCAGACGGCCTCATGTTTCAGTCGCTACGATATTCGAGATATCGCGATACATGTATATCTTTGTAATGTACTACTCATAAGGTTGCTGAGAATCCGTCGATAGCCCACGACCGGTTCGAGGGGAGTTCATTGACTTTCTCTTCCTAGTCGCACATGCGAATTGATGGCAAGGCTTCTACACATCCCGCACAAAATGAGAACATAACTAGCGAATATACACCCATTTGCAAACTAATTTGGTTTTTCGAGAGACTCACCTGGAACCCAGCTGAATCTCTCGTTTGTGATGCCCTCAGGCTTATGAGTAGTAAATTATAAAGAGAACGTAACTAGTTGTGACGCGCTGCTATTTTAACAGGTATGCTTGTATCAAGTACAGCTTCATGCCAAGGAGTGGAACTTTTTGCTCTTCCCATTGCAGAAGCAGTTAGAATTCGAACTTCAGGAAACGGATGAAGCACATTTTCTGGCCCCTTTTCGCTTACAAACGCCATTCGGACCACTTTCTACCTCTGAGCAGTATGCAGTTACTGAACGACCTCAGTCGTCGTGTGAACAGTTCTTCACTGCTCTACGTGGAGCTGACCGTGGCATCCCCAGAACTAACTGGATAATTTCTCTTATTGGCCTGTATTTAGCGGTAATGAAGCCATTCCCTTCCGTTGCGGAGCAGGGACGAACTGGCCTTTCCAAGAGAAGGTCCCTATTGGGCCAGCTCAATGGAGGCTAAATCACCCGCCGTTACGATTTTCACCTAAGCCTCATGTGTCCCATTGACAGCCGGTTTGGCCTAACATCATGGTTTTCGCCGGTCATCTGTTTCTCTCGTTTCAAACGTCTGACAGTTTTTCATTGTCTCCTTGTATACGTTCTCATTAGTCAGTTAACTCGCATACCCATTGGAATCACCAGGGTGATACATCCTGTCGTCTAGTTGGTTTAACAAGGGAGCTTACGTAATCGACCCAGCCAGAGGGCAACGAAAGGATCCGGTTACCAATAGGGTACACAACCACAAACATTCCGTGCGATTTTTGCTTGAAGTGAACACTTGAATGGCCTATCACAGTCCCTGTTGCGTAATCGTGTCATGTAATTTTCACCTCCGGTAAGCCCCCACCCGCCTCACACGAGTGATCTCATCATCCTATTGGTACAAGGTGTTAATTGTCACCTCGCCGGTCCGCGGAACAGCTGGCCGCCTTACATGAGTGGGTCAGCGGCATGAACAGCAACCTTCGGTTAGCCAATCAGAAAACGCTTTGATCATCAGATCAGATGATTAGATTCAGTGATCAAAGCGAGCCTACTGGATGATGGGGGAGTAGCACATATTCCAAGACAGTAGACTGTGCCGTTACAGCAAAGTTATGGATGTGCTTGACCAGACGCTTGATTCCAAACCATTCTCTCAGCTTCGCGACTCATCCGGAGATAGTGCGTTTCATTTCATGGATGTGTCTGGGGCTCTTGACTTGTCCAACAAAACCGCATCGATGGAAAACGAAAATAGTCTGAAACAGGAAGCAGGTGATGAGCAGAGGGCAGAAGAAGAGTTGAATGGGCAAACCTGGACAGGTATTTCGAAAGTCGAGGTATCCAGTCCGTTGGGATCCACCCCAAAACCCTACTCACTGAATGATGCACCCGTCAAGGACCTGGGATCATGGAAATGCTTCCCACTTGTTCCGACTCCTGAACAACTTCAAGCACAGCTGAGCGGGCGACCAGCGACAGGTAAGCAGGCTTGTTTAGTGTTAGTGTAGAAGCTATCAATTCTTGTCATTATCCAAGATGTTTTTGTGGGATCCACAGGTGGGGAGCACGTGATTTGAGAACATACTGTCTGACTCCCCCCCCAACAGTATTGTAAACACACTCCAAACAAGGGCGAACAGTAGACTAAGGAACATGGAGACGATTTTTTGGCAAGTAGAAAAAAGGTCACGGGGAAACGTCACTACACAATATCGGTGATTAATTTCGGCTTAAGATTGAAGAACATGCGGAGAAAGTTCGTTTTCCACATTTTTCATTTTAACGTGGACTCCTTCCATGTTCTCACCCAGCACAGTGGTTGTCCGTCATTACCGATGACGTAGTCTATTCTCCTACTGCCTTTTTTGGTAACCAGCCAGCACTTAATTTAAAGAATAAACGAAATCCACGAATATGGATTCATTTGCAAACTAATTTGGTTTTTGTCGAGGGACCCACCTGGAGGCCAACTCAATTTGGTTTTAGTTTGCAGATGAGTGTATATTCGCTAATTTCGTGCGATTTGGTTTCAGGTAGAACATAAGGTTGACGGAAACCCGGAGACTGTGCTTGCCTGATGAGCCCCGAAACCGGTCATGGGCTGTCGACGTATTTTCAGCAACCTTATGAGTAGTGCATCACAAGAAACGAAGTCGTATCCATACGAACCTAACCAGAAATCGCGTGACTGACGGTCTGTTGATGTGAATTTACGCTTCATCCCGGTTCATGGTCGCTTCCGTGCCAGAATTGAACCACTTCAAAAGTTTTCTATGGCCTAATGTTGACACTTTATTGTGAGCTTCTAGATGGTGTGTTTATTGGGTAGCCATTCCCCCGGAGACTTCTAGCAAATACAACAATTCAGCTTCACCACATCAAGGTGTGCCCCTTTAGCTACTAGATCTTGTTGATAGGCACACTGACAGCTCCCGTTAGAGCATTGTTAACTTCAAACTTGTCTCTGTCATGAAACAGAACAGGGCTAGGGCTTCTCATCTACTTATAGCATGTGCAAGATGACTGGTTCCCAAGGGCACATCGACAAACGCCATGATTTGAGAGGTAGCTCCTCATCAGAATAAGAAGAAAATGAGTTATCCTGGCCGCACATAGCCTAGGTGATCTGTACTGACCTGTCTGTTCGAGATCGTTAGAATCATTCAGCGATCTTTTGTCGGATCCAGCTTGTTACCGAACCGATCGAAGCGGCTTGTCTTCGGTCGTGGGGTCATGGAATCAGAAAACATCTCTTAGTGGCTAGCTGCTGAACTTTAAAGGACACTTGTTGCGCCTGAAAATGAGGTGGATTTTGATCCATGTGTATTGAAATCCTAGGATTTACCCCCTACATTGTCCAGATTCTCCTATTTCTGAGGCCCAAAATGTAGGGAACAGGATGAAAACCAACGGAAATATGAGGCGGCCTGTTGCAGTACATTCAGTTGAGGAACATCATAAACGAGAGATTCCGTCGAGTCCCTCGTGAAAACCAAATTGGTTTGTTGCAATCAGTCCAACTTGGGTTCAAGTAGAACAAAAAGTTAGAGGAAACTCGAAGAAGGCGTCTACCTGATGAGCCTCAAGAAGGGCGAAACCGGTCATTGGCTGTCGAAGTGTTTTCAACAACCTTGTGAGTAGTTTCTTTTATGGAAGTATAAGAGGGGGGATATCTCGAATATCGCACCGACTGAAACATGAGGCGGCCTTTATGCAGCACATTGAGTCGGCGAACATCATAAACGAGAGATTCACTTGAGTCTCACATGAAAACCAAATTGATTTGCAAATGAGCGCATTTTTCGCAATTGGGATGCTCTTTAGCCACCAGGTGTTTTTCTGAGTACCGAAACACCGGTTTCCCAAAGTTGTTCCTCAATGTTTTGATGCATTTTATTTTGTTCAAGCTGACAAAACACTGACTCACCTGTCGTTTCGCGGTCACATCAATAAGTGCTCAGTGATCTTGTTCATAATGTGCAAGTTCGAGATAGCTCAGTGATTTGGGTGTCTCGTGTCTTTTGGTGACCTCTGATGAGTTGACTGGACCCACGGAATTGGGAATCGGATGATCAGAAGACGAGTTCTTCGTGAGACAGCAGAGGATAGCTCACTGAAAGAATACAGCCACCACAGTATACCCATTCATCGCCTGCCGAGACGAGTGCTGTTTGCCACGCCCAGTTCAGTGTCGGAAAACTGGATGTGGACGGGATATGACATGACAGAAGGGAACGAAGGATGTTAGGAAAGTCTGGGCGCTGCTGCTGCTGTTTGCCTTTTAGGGTTGGGTCCACCTGCCCCTCTCTCGTGTGCTTGACCGGATATTGTGTTTGCTGAGCTCAGCAAACAACCCATAGACCGACCACGGTGAAGACATATCATCGCCGGTGATCAATTGAAAGTTCATATCGATTGATCAGACACACAATGTGGTGCAGGCACGTGGCATGTACCAGAAGCATTCGTATTGGACAGTGCTCAGCTCACGAAATATGCAGGTTAGTAGTACCAAAAGGCTAAAGAGACTTTGATGCGCGGATCTAGATACTGCTGAAGCAGGAGTAGACGGGGAAGCAATGGAAAACGGGAAAGCGCAATTTCCGAATCATAAGATCTGGCTTCTGTGCTACGAGAGAGATGGCCCAAGTAATCAGAGCACGAATTTACTGACTGGAAGGTTCATGGGTCGAACCCGACCTCAACCTCTCGACTTTCCCTGTCTAGGCTTGGCAACCTGTTATTATCCCAGCCCTCGTGCTTCCTTCCAGTGGCATGGCAGCTAAGCACAAAAAGAGCGTTACAGCTGATTGATTATTTATTTTTATTATTTTTTTATCCCGTTTTACGTTTTGAAATTTTTGGATTGGTCAACTAGTAGCCGTAACCTCCGTGCGAAAGAGGCTGTAGATTATTCTGCAGTGTACGAAGTAGCAAAGTCCAAAACCCGGTTGGTGGCTGTCCTGAAATAGGAGGGAGATGTCAGTCTAACTGTGATCCACACACTCTGTAACGGTGTAACCTAGTGATTACTTGGAGTAGAATTGTTCGCCTCTAGGTTGTGACTTACTGAATAAATGTACTAAGATTTGATTCCCTTGGATTCGTTCTTATACTTCAACACTTCAACACTTCAATACTTCAACCAGAACCATAGGGTATTTGATCTTATTTGTGCTCATGATCTTATCTCTATTTGGTGAGCGTGTCCATATGTCGGCGAATAGTCAGAATCGCTTGTAACAGTTCACGATCGCCGGAGTAGTTTTTAGAACATTTTGAGGCAAAATTGTCACAGTATCATTTGCTGCCTTCTCAGAGAGAAGACACATTGTGGGTCCCCCAGTTTAGTCAGTGTCAGTTTTCACTTTTTGGTGTTTTTACGCCACTGGGTAAGGGTACACACTTGGATTAATTTCCGGTAGAGTATTCCGAACGGTTCAAGCGTGAACACGCCCACCTGTGAAAGCTCGGGTACGTCCAAATTGTGCTGATGGAGTAGTAGTGACACGCTCGCCCCACCTCGCATGCCAGATATTAGGAGTTCAATTCCAGGCATTGCCAAGAAAACACTACTGATGAGTCCTAACAGTAGCAAAACTCGAGTCCAATGTCTCCACCTTTTGGTATGGACTCACCAGATTGACTGCACCAGAACAGGGTGAGCACTGTTCAAACAAGAGTGATGTGATCGAGAAACACACCCATTTGCAAATTAACTTGGTTTTCACGAGACACCGGGGCGAGATGGCTCAGTGGTTAGGGCGCGAATTTACTGACCGGGAGGTCCATGTTTCAAACCCGACTTCTGCCTCTCGACATCCCCTGTCTAGGCTTGGGCAACCTGGCAGAATCCCAGCCCTCGTGCTTCCTTCGGGTGGCGTGACGGCTAGGCACCGAAAGGATGCTACAGCTGAACGATCCCACGAGAGAACCAACGGAATCTTTCGTTTATGAATGTGCTGCACACAGGCCGCCTCATGTGTCAGTTGGCACGATATTCGAGATATCCCCGTATATTTTCATAAAGGAAACTACTCACAAGGTTGCTGGTCGAAGAGTTTTCAGCAACCTTGGGAGTGGAGTTTCCTTTAAGAGTGATGTGAATTCTGAAAATCCCACAAACCCTCGCGGGCTAAACAAAACGGTTCATTTCTACCCACTGCGCATGGATTGTCCCATAATCTTGCCCTTTCGGACCTCAAAATCGCACACTGCCTCTCGTGACAAGTTAGCAACAGACTTATACTGAGGCGATCACTCAAAGTGAACAGCAAGTTAGTGGCTCGAATCCTCAGGCGACTGTTCGCCCCACGCTTCACATGCATTTCAACATCTTCTATCCTCCTGTCATTAGATGGAACATTTTTTTACGTAAACGAACCTTCAAATTTGAGTAGGTCAGTTTCAGTTGGACATCCCCACGCGTGTGGTAGATTGAGAAGAACGAATCATGTCAGAACGATACAAACTGCATATTGAAGACCACAAAGAGGCCTGTCGAAGGAATGCTTTTTTGTTGTCAGAAAAACACAGGGGTGAAGATTATATATATATATATATAT